GAATATGTGCTCAATCTTTTATTAATGTATTTATTATAGTATATTATCATACCTGGATATAAAATTTAGATATGATATACTATTTAAATACGTTGATAATTCTTAATAAATTGTTTAAAGTAATATTTTTCCAAAATTATAAACATATTAAAAAACGTTTATTTAATTAGAATATTATTTTTATTAATATAAACGTAGATAAAATTCTGTATTTGATGAACTATACATATTTTAACGTATATGCCATATACCTATATCAATTTTATATCATATTTATGTTTAATAAACACATAATACACCAATATGTGTTCATCGAGTGATTTACTTTCATTTTAAAAGAATTATTATAAAATATACTCTTATCACTTAAAAAATAAAAGTTATTTTCTTTCTAATAATGAATTATTTATATAAATTAATTTATTATCATTTTCAGATTTGTAATCAAGAAATCGTATAATTTAAATAAACCGGAAAAAAAATAATTATTATTAAGTCCGTATGTATAATGTGAATACACAAGTAAGAGTTAAAGCCTATAATGATCGAAGCTGAATTTTAGATTAAATAATTTCCATGTGAATTTATATGAGGGTCATTTGAAAGCTTTGAGCCTCAACATGAAAATAACATTACTCGTCAAAATCCATTCTGGTACTACAATCATACGTGTTTTGAAAGATACCTGTGGAAATTGTATGTATTGCCATTTTGTACGCCCGTTGTTATTTAATTATCATTTGTGCTAGTCGATGTCGGTGTTTTTGTTTGATAAAAATCTCTATCCTCCGAGCCAAACTTTGAGCCTAGGAAACAGGAAAAAGTCGTTGGGGGTCAGATCTGATGAGTACGGTGGTCAATCAATTCGAACCTCAATTCATAAATTTTTGTCATGGCGATCGCCAATATTCGATTTTTTCCATTTTTACAAAAACACATCGACTGGCACAAATGACTGAAACAACAACTGAACCAAAGTAGCTACAATTTTCACAGTTATCTTTCAAAACATGTACGATTGTAAATAATTGTAACCAAAATAATTTTGACGAGTAATGTCATCTTCATGTTGAGATAGTTTCAGATCTGTATATTATATTTGTAATCATTTGAACTGCACGCCGAATTGGCTTTTTAGACTTAGAAATGCAATTAAATTATTGTAATGATATCACAAATTAAATTAAGAAGCAATTTAATAATTTGATGCTCAATCAGGCAATCCTATTAGAGATACATTAATGTGTCCAAAAATAAAGTCAAATTAAAAAAATATAGCAATGTACTTTTTTCTTTTTTAATTTACTAAGATCACACATTTTTCCGTATGTGAAATAAAATATAAGAGAGAGAGAGAAATATATCATAATAAGGAAGTAATTTTCATAAATATCCCAATAAATATTTCCGATAAATATTTTTCTGATCAAAACGAAAATAAACTTTATTCTTCAAATAAACGTTAAATTTAGTACCGCTGATATATCCTTAACTGAATTTGAAAATATCAAATCAATAAATATTAAATTTAGTCATGCGTATTACTCTCTTACTGTATTAATTATTAACCAGCGTTATGTTTTAATATAAAATATAATAAAGGAAAATATTTTATTGTATTTAAATTCAATACTTCAACATATTCTCGAATTCTAAATGAGATTTTTCATATAAATAGTCATTCTCTTTGCAAATCATTCTCTTGCACTTTCGAACAAATGTTACAATTTATATTTATATTAACATATATACATATATTATAATTATGTATATAATTATAAATATATATTATATTCATTTATATTGACATATACATATAATCTTCTCTCATGATTGAATCAGTAAATTGTGAGAAACAAAATTGAAACTGTTTCAAGATTAATTTTATCTGAATTTCTCAAGTGAATAGTCATGGTTGTAAATATAATAAATATAAAGTTGATTTCCGAAATTTATGTAAACTCTTTCAAGATCAATATTCTTTACTAGAAATATGACTATAAATAGATCTATATTTTATAATTTTACGTAGATTGTAGCTGTTTCTGCTTTACCTACATTATTATCGTACTAAAAACATATATTTACATTTTATGTATTCACATTATATTATTTTATATTTATTATTTCATATTATTTTATATTTATTGTAAACATACACTTGTTTATGCACTTTCATTTATACGACAAGATATGCTGGAAATGCAAAATTTCCACATAAAAGACTGGCCAGTACTAAACGTAAAATGCTGAGATTTCACATTTTTTTAAATGTAAATTATTCCTCAGTTATTAGGTATGCTTTGGCGAGTGGTCAGACGATGGAATTCCGCTTTATTAGCTGGTATGAGTAATACCATTGGCAAGTGAAATTTTTAAATTTTTAGAGAGAAGAGTAAAAAGGAGAGGTATGATATTAAAAAAAGGGCAGTCTTTGGTTTACGTAATGACTTAAAAAATTTGCATATAATCTACACGATCAAAGATATGTTTTGGAACTATGCTAATGGTTGTAACCTTTGTTTTCTATTATTCCTTTTATGCCACTCCTCTCTTCCTCTAAAGATTTTAATGCAAAATTTCCGCAAAATATTTTTACGTAATTTTAATGTAAGAACCGTGTGCTATAAATTTTAAGTAGTGTAACCCGCTTAAACAGTGACACTTACTAATTGGCAGTGAGTTTTTAACGACGAAGAAATGATCTTCATTAACATTCACGTTGGAGGACAACGCGTTGAGAAAACCAGCGCTGGCTATGTCCAGCTTGGGTAGAAACTGCACAGGAGTCTTTTGATCCGCTTAATTTGCATAAAGACACGACTCGAATGCCGAAACGATCAATCAAGTCGCCGCAGGAAACGAGTTACCATCGCTGTTCTTTTCGAACGGCCACCGCTTCGATCGGTTCAATAGCTTACACGCCTCGCTTAGACCACGAGCGGCGGAAACATTGTTTCTCTCGCTCCGAAAGTTCGTTTCTCGCGTTAAGTCGAGCGCGATGCGAACATCAGACGATAACTTTGAAATGTTCGATCTTAATCAATGAGTGTTTCCTCTCTTATCCCTTGCATCTTCCGGCAATAAAGCAACTTATTTACTTGCTATTTTAAATACCTTTATATAAAGGTAAAAAAGATATTTTAAAAGGTAATAGATAGAGATAATATTGTAATAAAGTGCAAGACACTAATATATTTCTTTCAATGTACTCTTGCTGTAGATTTTTAAATATGATGATTATCAGTTAATTCAATTGATATACTGTTATTGAAGATTGTTTTTTATTAATTTGACTTTAGTTGATTTGTGATTTATATCAGAATTCAGAATAGAATTTTATTTATAATTTTATGTGCTACATAAAATTATGTATAAAACGTTACTGCGCAATCCTATAACTGCAATACAGCTAAGCATATTGAAAATACATGGATGTGTAATCGAAAAGAGAATTGCATTGGTTCGAATATAATATACTTGTTCTACTAGTAGAGGAAGAAATATATGGTCCGGCTATAATTTACTTATTCTACTGTGAGAGTTGAATCTATGGTCTGCCTGCGATGTACTTGTTCTACTGCAAAGAGAGAATATATGATCTGAGTGCAACTTAGTTATTCAACCCCGGATATGGAGAAATTTATATGTAGAATATTAGTATTTCGATTGCATTGACATTTTCCTATATTTTATATCACATAGGCTACATGTTATTAAGTTCTCTAATCAAAATTTTACATTACTATGCTGCATTAATATTCAGTCCCATTGTTTTATTGATAATTAGTAAATTCTACTCATTTGAAGTTAATTAAAGTTATAAATTATAATTTGAAACAATTTGCAATAATAATTAACAAAACTTTAAATATATCATTATTTTAAAAAGAAGCTATTCATATAAATAACACATATATAGCTAATTTTTTATATATGATAAAATAAATATTGATGTGCCTAAAATCAAACTTACGACACAATCAAGAAAAATCGATCGAAAATATTTTTTCGCGCTAACATAACATGTCAGTATACGATAAATTCTTCCCGTCTTTCCGATATCACCGTTGTAATTGCGCTTACGATTGTACCAGTCGAGCAACGCTTTGTTACACGATAGCGTCGAGGATTCCTGGCGCTATCAAGAACTGGAATTCCATTTCCAGGCCCCACGGGCGCAACTTTTTCTATTCTTCTGGTCTAGTCTGATTTATCGTCACCCTTACGCTCACGTGTTCCACGTGCTCGAGGTCTTTCTACAGGTACACCCTGCGGTACACTCATGTGATTGATACGAGGTTGTAGATCGTAGGGGTAAAGGGACGTTCCATAAGCCTCGCGTGTGGCCGGAATTCCCGATTTTCCGCTCTTTTCCCTTCCATTCGATGTATCCTTCGAAAGTGGCCGACGATACCAGCATGTTAACCATTCGCACGTATCTCGGTTGCAAATTGCAACAGATACGTATCCTTCGAGATTGCTTCGTGATATTTTTAAAAAATATATTTTAAAAAATATATTGAGAGGTTACTTTTTTAAATAATGATTGTTATAACGAATTCTATATTATAAAATAATATTTGTTATCAATAAATGATTACTGATATGTGTTGAACAAATATATAAATATGAAGAACATTAACAAAAATAAATATATTATGTCATAAAATCTTTTTTAAATATGTGAAATTTTTTATAAGTCAAAGATTTTATTAAAACTTGTTAACAGAAAATGTTTTCGTATGTTTTTGAGAATTTATATATATATAAACAGTATATATAACTGTAGTAACATCTCCATACAGACTCTCAATGTAGATATTGATTCTTTTACTGCCATATTACAAGGATTAATTTTCCAAATCTATCGCACATAATACTATAATTATATTAATATCATTATAGATATCACTAATAATTCCATTCGATTCAGCGTAAATGAAATTTACCAACAAATTCCGTTGAATCAATAAAAAGATTTTAATATTGTGTTTCAGAAGCTGAAGTAAGATCACCACGTTTCACTGGGTCAGGTTGGCTGGCTTTTCCCGCCTTACGAGCCGCTTACAAACACGTCCAATTAGAATTGGAATTTCGACCAGAAGCATGGGACGGAGTGCTTCTTCTGGCGGGAGAACGGGACGATCTTCAGGGTGACTTTATGGCCTTGATACTTCATCACGGCTTTATCGAATTCAGGTGATTAAATTTTGTTATTTAACATTACTTAAATACAGTGTTGAGTATCTAAATATATTTATAGAGATACATTTTGTGTATCTAATCTATATCTGAGGTACATTCAAATTCAAATATTTGTATCTGTATCTAGATAAAAAAATACAACATCTGAACTGATTTTCAGATGCATTTTTCAGATACATTTCTTCAGCATAGTTATAATTCCATTTTATGTGTGATTATCGATTGATTTCATTCCGCAGAAAAAAACAGCTTTGCTGTTGCAAAATTCTACAACATGATTATTCTTTCCTTTAATTCCTCACTGGATCTAAATGCGAATCAGTCATATTAAAGAATTTTACAATACACAGCTGCTTTTTCTGCTGAACGCAACCAGTGATCTTAGATTGTGGAATTTCTAACGCATGTATACAGATTGTTTGGAAATTAGTGACAAGTCTTTCGTACAGGGATAGAATGGACTAAACTGAGAAGAAAAGTTCTCTACCATTTTGCAATTTTTGCAATAATTAACAAGATATTAATTGCTAAAAATTGCCGAGACGAAAATTGTTAATTTTCTTCTCATTCAATTCTACGAATTTTTTTAGAATTTTTTATCAATATTTTAGGACATTTTTTCATTTTTACCAACATGAGAAATTACAGTATTAAAAAATTCTGAAAAAAATCTGAAAAAATTCTTAGAGTTCTATGAGAAGAAAATAAACAATTTTTGTCTCTTGCAGTTTTCCTATAAAGGTGATAGTATTTGAGTAAAAAATTATTGAAGACCAATTTTCAGCAATTTTTAGCAATTAATATCTTGTTGATTATTGCGAAAATTGCAAAACGGTAGAGGACTTTTTTTCTCAGTTTAGTCCATTCTAGCTCTGTGCAAAAAACTTATCACTAATTTCCAAACATCCTGTATAGTTAAACTGGAAACACAATGTTTGAAACATTTTTAGTTTATAAAACTATGATGGATAATAATGATGAATAATATCGTCTTATAATTCTTATCCAAAATGATTTTACGATGATTTAAATTATAAGTTATTTCAATTATCATAAATATATTATTTATAAATATAATAAAAATGAATGAATAAATGATTCATTTAATTTTTTACACATTACATTTTTTACACATTACCATTATTACAATAAAATTAATTTAAGGGTATCTGAAATGTATCTGAAGATATTTTTAAAGTATCTAATATCTGTAGCTATTTATTTCGTACATGTAACTGTATTTGTATCTAAATAAATTTCAAGAGTATCTTACCCATTACTGCTTCAATATCAGTCGAACGATTAGTAATAATTGAGGAGCTTTCAAAATAGGTTTTGTCCAAAATTTTATTTTTTTAATTAGAGGTAGTGTTCAGTGTTGAAAGATTCATATTATTGTATAAGCTGAGATGTTCAGAAAGCATTTTTTCATTGTTAATTTATATGCTAAAAAAAAGAGATTTCGAAGTGCATTATGTTTTTTTTAAGAGACAAACAAAATGCATTTGTTTAACACTTTTAACAATTGTTTAGCAATTTTGTTTAATATTTCACATCCTGATTATTGTTATCTTCTGTAAAGTGCGTAATTTTCTTATGTTTGTAATTTCTTTCTTTCTCGTTTTCTGAAAATTACAAATTTTAGATAAAACGTATTTTGAAAGTCTGCTCCTCAATTAATATATTAAAAATGATTATGCGATTTTTTATTGTTTATCTTATAATATGTTTATCTTATAATATTCGCATGTAATAAGAGAATTAAAACTGTTAAACTTGCACAAAACTATTTAATTAATTAAAAGATGAACACAAAAACATTTGATTTTAAATTTATAACGAGATTAGCAAACAATATCATGAAAGAAATATGGAAAAAAACAAACTGTAATAGGATTAAATTCACAGAAGATAAATAACATCTGAAAAAATATTAATTTAGAACTTAAGAAATTGTTGTAAATATCTGATTGTAAGTGTGATGAAAATTCTACAAGAACGTAAACTTCTTAAATATCAAAAACAAAATTCAACGATTTTTTTATCCTAATAAGAAGAAGCATGTATTAAATATAAAGTTACAAGACACTTTATAGGACATTTTGGCGTTATAATTTCAGAGACTTCGCCGTGAGTTTGACGTGGTCATTAATTAAGCATTCCGTGCCGGGACTAATTTTTCGTTTACAGCTTAATAAGCCGTGACTTAATGGAGCGCACGTACGATTTATGAACGCAAAAACTGAAAGTTTACCTTTTGCAATATAGTCTGATCCCATTTCACCTCTTTTACAACGTTTTGCGCCACCCCATCGACGGGAAACTTTTTCGCCGTGAAAACGATGCCGTAGGATTTATTTTACAACGCACTACGTAAAGTTTCACCTACAAGTACATTTGCAAAGTGTTATATTATCATATGACACTTCTAATATTACGACGTTATTTTCCTCAATATTGCAATATATGTAATAACGTACTCAAACATTGAATTATTCGATTACAATAAGTATAATTAACAATATATATATTTACACATAATTTAATGATACTGAATATAAAAATAATATAAAATTTATTTGAAAAATATTTTTATGTTTTGAGAAGTATTTTCAAAAATTATTTTATTATTACTTTTTTTTTTATCGAGAGCAATGTAATTATATGACTTTAATAAATTAAAAGAACAGAATGAGAAAATCGCAATGCTTTTATAAGGATTTAATTTTTCCATTTATTAAAATTATATGATTTTATTTTTATCTTGACAAAGATAATAATCTGAAAAATAATCTGAAATTAATAATGATAAATAAATAGTTATCTCTCAAAAAGAAAATATAGTTTATATAGTTTATATTCTACAAATAATAGATTTAAGAATTCTTTAAAACACAAAGTAATTAACTTTGTTAATTATTTACAATAAAAAAACCTTATTAGGTTGGAAAATAATGGGCTCGTTGTCATGCTGTTACTGTTTTTGTTATATTTTTTCGATAACGATCGCATTTGTGTCTCTGAATGTTTATAAAAGTAACAATAACGAATTCAGTCATTATTTTTATCATTACTTTAATTTCTTATTATCTTTATAACTGTTCAATGGATCACATATTTTTAATTTGCTAAAAATATTTTATAATAGAAATTTAAATATTAAAGAATGTTTTATATTTTAAACTGCATTGCCAAAACTGAGTAATATACGTATATACAACGAACTATAAATTTTTATTATTGGCAATAAATATTGGTATGCACTCTTAATAACGACATTAATATTTAAAACCAATGTTTAATAAAAACTTTTAATAAAAATCTACGTTTGTAAATTACAATCTAATTTTCTAAAGATAAGCATGTATTAAAAATGAAAATATTAATTTAAAGAATTATTGAAGATTTATTTTAAATAAGTTTTAATATGAAAAATTGTTTGATATAAAAAAAAATTTGCTATAAAATTAGTTTAGAATTTTAAGTTTCAATATTGATTTTTATAATTAATATTGATTATTAAATAATCTAATTTTTAAATCTAGTATCTTATTTCAATAAAAAAATAATAAAAAAGATAATGAATCGTTACTTTTTAAATAATGGTAAGGCATTATTTTTTAAAATTAATAACAAATAGATAACGGGATATTAAGAGTTATTTTTTACAGAAAATAGCGGTAACGCGTTACTTTTATGAAATAATGTTCCCAATCCTCATAATTAATATTTATTTTTCATATAAAATCAATTGTTACTTTAAGCAACGCTAATTAGTTTATAAAACGAAGCACAAAATATACAAAATATAGCATTTGGAATTAATTTAATAAGCAAGAAGTAGAATAATTACCACATATTTATTTTATATAATGTTAAATATTTTATAGGTTTAATTTTATGGGAATATTTATAATTAGAATTGTTTTAGCAGTATATATACAACACGGGTAGTATTGTATTGGAATATTTACAATTAAAATTGTTTTAGCAGTAAACACACAAGTTGTGCACAATGGCTACGTTTAGCAGAAAAAGCAGCTTTACAACTGTTATAAGATTTTTTAATATAGGGTTGTCCAAAAATTAAAGACTCTTATTGTTTTTCGGCGACAAGGAAATTGTTTCTCAAAAGTTGGCTACTGCTGCTCTCGTAATTGTTTATATATGATGTATAGATAGCAAGAACCAATTATATTAAAGAATCTTATATCGTTTGCAAAGCTGCTGTTTCTACTAATAGCAATGGAGTAACAAAATTGAGCCGATAGGTAATAGCTCTATTCTACAATTCTATTATTTATTATTTTTTATTATTACTTTTTAAAAAACAATCGCGACAAATGTTATGTACTAAACATTACCATATCTTAGAGTTACTACAAGCATTTATTAACTCGTATTAATAAAAATTGAAATAGTAGTGATAATCCCTTATCGAAGTACACATGCGTTTTTTACGCGATTTATTAACTTATATATAAAATTGTTAATCTCGCAAATAAACAAAGCTTGGTCGAACGAATTTTCAGATTGCAAAAATTTTCATAAATCACAAATAATATACTTACAAATGCCAAATTTATACTATGTAAATGACAGTATTAACATACAAACTTCATTACGACTGTGCTTATGAATTAAATACATGGCATTTGTTTGGAGTAGGAATCAGGACGACAGAAAATAGAGATTATAAATTATTGTTTCGCGATATACATATACGATAATTATCTCCTCAGCAACACTTGGATCAAGTATATATAGTATCGCTCTCTATTTAAATGTAATTTGCTTAATATTTCGATACTAATAATGTGAAATAATATATCGAATCGAGTTGTTCAGCTAACGAGAAGTCGTGATATATTGAATATGTATTGATAATTAAATTTAAAAAGCAAAATATTTAAAGTTTATTTCACAATATATTAAATATCTCAAAGAGGACTGAGTTAAGGCTGACCTGTAGCAGACCTGAGTAGTTTGTCTTT